GGCACCAGCGCCAACGTGACCCCTAGGATTTGGGGCGAGGGGGGGGGGAGAGAGAGAGAGAGAAAGAGAGAGAGAGAGAGAGAGGAAGGAGAGGAGAGGAGAGGAGAGGAGAGGAGAGGAGAGGAGAGGAGAGAGAGAGAGAGACGCGGGGGGGCCTCATTCGCTGGAGTTCAGGGTGACTCTTGAGAGTTTTTTTGGGTTTTGGGGACCGTTTTTGAAGCGCTGATCTGGAGCTCGCTTGAGTTCATGTATGGAGCTGTATAGTCACTTTTTGGGGAAAGACCAGTTTAGTGGCAGAGAAACAAGTTCCTCGGGTTTTGGGGATGGCGTCCTTCCATTTCTCATTCCCTGCTGAGAACCAGCAAGTTAAAGCCACAAAACAAAGAGAGACCTGCCGCGTGTGCACGGGCAAAAGCGGGGCTACTTGAAGGACACACAACCACATGTTCCAAAAGAGGAAAAATAAGAACAAAGCGGGTGCTTTCAAAAAGAAAATCAAGAAAGAGTGCTTTCAGAAAGCAAAAGACTCGAAGTTTCCCTGCTTGGTTCGCGGCAGCCAGCACACAAAAAAAGCGCTGACTGCCAGCCAAAGGTGGCCTCAGGGGACTGACCACAGCCAAAGCGCCCAGGGCATCTTCCTGGGGCTCGTCATCCTCGGGGTCACTGAGATCCGCATCCTGCGAGCAGAAAGAGACACCCGAAACACCCGGCTGTGGTGCGGACAAGGTTGGACTTACGTTTTTAGCAAACCACGTTCAGCATTTGGCTTAACACCCAGTTGCTTAAAATGAGTTTAAAACGATGCCAAAAGCGGTCTCTGGGCCATCACAACCCAGTCCCAAAAAAATCGAAGAAGGTGCCTGGGAGTCCTAAAACTTTTATGGCACTGAACAGCTGATCGAAACCAAACTGAAAGCAGCACCACCTAAACTGACAAGGACGCCTAGATCGGCAGAGGCTATGGATCCAATTGGGACAGCTAGTTGAAGCATGGGAGAGACTGTTCTTCGACTCCCATCCTGATTTTGTTGGGCCCCATAAGCTAAAGGAAAGGCAGGGTCCCCTCTGGGCTTGTTCAATATTGGTGACTCCAAAAGTGTGGCGAGTTTCTTTTAGTCAAAGCTGAGTCATCAGCCACCCCAGACGCAAAGAGGCACGTTTGATCAGGCTCCTCCGTGTGCACATCGATCATTGCATCTAGCTCATCCAGATGAAAGCTGCCCTCCTTTCAGCAAATGTGAGGGCGGGGCAAGCTTGACCCCCAAAAATACAGCTACTGTACACTAGGAGCTTCAAACAAAGCCACTGTTTGCTTCATGTCACGAGCAATCCACTGATATAAATATCACCCTCCCGCCAACAAAAATGGACCCGTTTGCTTCCAACACATTCGGAGAAAGCATATTCGTCCGGATGTGTGCAAGCAAAAGTCTTTCAAGGTGGCTTGCTTGCCTGTTCCTAAAGGGGGAATGTCAGCCTTACCCCATACCAGCCATCATTGGACGCATACAAAAAATGGTTGTTGCAGTTATTCTCAGATTCCCTACTGAGGACAAACAAGTCGACATTGTGCGTTGTTGTTCCTCCCTTCCCGCATGGCACAAGAAGACAAAGTCAATGTTCGGTGTCTCTGGGAGATTGCAGCAGCCTTGTCGACTCAGAGCGTTTTGGGTGGTGATGTGGTGATCCCTTAGGTTCCTTTCAGAGGATTCCCTTCACAAGGTGCGGATTTTGAGAATCGACGTTCCGTTCACACCAGACTTTGAGAGACATGGGGCCCAAAGGGGGGAGTTTGTGACAGCCATGTGTTGACGGCTTTGGCCCGATTCAATCTGGCCCGGATCTTTTGCCTTGGGAAAGCTGGCTCCAGTTTGTCCTAAGGTTTTCAGTGGAACCTTTTCACAACTTGCTTGGCTTAGACTCTTCTGGAATTAGAAGTGGGTAGTGTTCGTTTGGAAACCATGAAACTGTTCTTGAGCAGTGCAAGTTTGAGCTGTCTTTGAGGAGCTGGTCACTAAAACAACACAGTCTGCATCTTCTGTGCCAGCGTGCATGTGTATGTGTGTGTGCGTTCAGATACATTCCTTCCTTATGTGTTCCCTTTACCGAATCCCACACAAGTGCTGTACCCTGCAGAGGCGATAAACTCCATGTGGCATATGTGGTACTCAAGACACTCAGCTGAGCCTGGTCCGGCGTGGGCAACCTCGTCGCAAGAAAAGCGAGAGACCGATCTGTTGTGCCAAAACTCTGAAACAAAAGCTCTCTGGTTGCAAACCCAACCCAGGGTTGGATACGACCCGGCTGTGTCTTCCACCAAACTGAGCGAAGTGGACGAGAGGGAAGGGTCTCCAAAAAAACCGAACAGACCCATGTTGGGCTTGTCTCCAAATCGGATAAACTGGGGCCCGGTTCATTCTGGTTTCTCTTTGACGGACAAAAAGAGTACCGAACCTCAAAACAAGCCACCCCCCAAGCCCTCACCATTTCCCCCACCAAGCAAGAGAGAACGGGCCAATAGGGTTCAGGGACTTTTGCATATGGAGATAGGAAATAAATAAAAGTGGCGCAAGACGTTGAATTGCGCTCAGGGATCACAGTTGTGTCTGCTTTTCAGAAAGGTTTTTAGATCAATGAAAGTCTCTCTCACCTGCATCATGCATCAATGTCTGCGAGAGACACGCAATAGACAAATCTCACTTATGTTTCTGAGCCACGCCCATGTGTGCCATGGGCATGTGGTGCCCTTTTCCTTGAGGCTGTTCGGGATGGTCACATGGAGTCTCTCTGAGCGGGCATTCTTCCTTGCAGACTTGGAACATATCATGGTGTTTGAGGGCTGTGATGTTTCCATACTGATTGCGCCGATTCAGTTGCGGCCGGGGGTGTCTTTCCTTCCACTCAAAGGTCGATCAAAGCACTCAAGACGGGAACTGGGGCAATGATGGAGTGACCCCCTCATGGCCGTGCTCGGAGTACTTCCCAAAAGACAGCATTTTCTCCGCATCTGCTCAAAACATACTTAAAAGAAGATGGCCCATCTGGATTTCTCCTTCACAAGCCTCTGTTTTCTCAAAATCAGGGAAACCCAAATGCGACTTCTTTTTGGTGTCCCTTTCAATCCAAGCATCGGAATAACATCCCCCCACACCAAAAGGACGAATCCACCGTCACACCGCGCCTCCCGAAGGAAAAAAGAAAACGAGTTCCGCCCCAAGGCGCGGGTGCGAGACCATGCAGATGCTGGGCCCGGAGATGACCCCCCGCGCAGAGGCCTGAATCTGCGACTTTGAGTTGGCGACTGGGCCATCCAAAATTCCGCACCCGTGGACATCAACCAATCCAAGGACGGAAATAGGTTCCAACATGGGTGGTGAATTCACCTACCAACCAAAATGGGATCCCAAAACGGTTGTGAGCCACAGCCAGTTCTCCTCCAGAAAACGAGAATCGGCTTAAAGGGTCCGCTTCAAGGGAATCCTGGTCTTCCAGGAACTTTTGGGGAAGGTGACCCTTCGAGAAGAGGAACACCCAGGGGTGCACGGGTAGAAATCACAGACTCTGACTCAATTTTGGTCTGCCCTAAAGCTCCAAATGATCTTGGAGACCTCCCCCTCACTCTGCAAAGTTTCAATTGAACCATTCTTACGGTTTGCCTTTTGGTAAAAGGAGGAAACGCCACCAGTGATGATATAGAGGCTCAAAAGGGCGGATCCTTTTTGTGGCGGATCGGTCAGAAAACAATCTGGACCTAAAAATTGGGCCGGGTCGCTCAAAATCATGAGGTTTTTCTTGATCAACTGCGAAACAGAAACCCCGCTTCTGCAATGTAAAATAAAGAGTTCGATGGAACAAGAAGAAGCGGGGTTTCTGTTTTGTTTCAGTGCAGAAGCATGGGCTCTTCCACTGCGTTGCCCTTGGGCAACACAAGATTCGACCAGCCCCTAGTGCCCAAAAGCTTCTTTTTCTTGGCGTCAAGATGCGAAGGTAACGTTGCCCGCTTGCAAGTGGCAACCCCCATTTGGCCAGTAGGCGAAGTGCTCGCAGCCTGCGATGCGTCAAAGGCTTCTGTTCCAGATCAGGCGTAGTTTCAATTGAACAGCGGGGTTATTAGAAGTTTAATGAAACGAGAATGGCCAAATAAGGGTGGTTGCGGAACAGCGCCCAAAACCCATTGACGTTTGGTTCTGCCAGCAGAGAAACATAGGTTCGTTGAGGCCTTACTGTAAGGGCTACTAGAAGCTTAATAAAACCAGAATGGCCAAAAAAACCGGGTGGTTGCGGGAGCTGCTCATGTTTAATCTGGTCTTGGACGAAGATTCTGAATCCAGGGATCCTTCCAGTTGAAAACCAACAAAACCGCGCTGGGCTGTTTAGAAAAATTGAGCATGAAAAGTTTCGCTATGTCTGAAATCATACTTGGCCCTGATTGATTTAGGATGGTATTCAAACAAAACCATTCGTTGGCGGTTCCCTTCTTGGAACCCCCCCCCAGTGTTGAGGGATAATAACGGTTCCTGCTCGAGCAGACGCATAGGGTCCTGCAATCATGTCATGTGCTTCTCTTGCTTATCCTTTTGTTGAGCCCTTTACGACGGCCATAGCTTCCCATGAAGCCTAGTATAATCTGCAAAGTGACACGAAAACTCGCCGCGTTTTGGGCGCTACAACCTCCAACACCAAAAAACAAAACACCAGGCATACACCCCTCTCGGTTTTTGAAAACCAGCCGCTCTACCCTTGCTCCAAAAAAAAAGGTCCCCCAAGGCCAGCCCCGTTCGCCCCTCGCCTGCAGTGTCTTGACATCGTCGCTGGCACGCCAAGACGCTGTCCTCCTGTGTCCGCCTCTGTCCTCAGAGCCGGTGGCTTCGCAGGATAAAACGGAGTGCACGGGGGGCACACGGTTTGTACCCCAATACCCCTTGGTGGCTACGCAGAACATCATGTGTGTAGGTATGTAGGTATGTGGGTGTGTAGGTGTGTAGGTGTGTGAACATAAAATCATAATGGTACGTATGTATGTATGTATGTATGTATGTATGTATGTATGTATGTATGTATGTATGTATGTATGTATGTACGTATGTACGTATGTACGTATGTACGTATGTACGTATGTACGTATGTACGTATGTACGTATGTACGTATGTACGTATGTACGTACATTGTACGTATGTACGTATGTACGTATGTACGTATGTACGTATGTACGTATGTACGTATGTACGTATGTACGTATGTACGTATGTACTTATGTACGTATGTACGTATGCACGTATGTATGTATGTATGTATGTATGTATGTATGTATGTATGTATGTATGTATGTATGTATGTATGTATGTATGTATGTATGTATGTATGTATGTGTGTAGGGTGGGTAGGTAGCTAGGTTGGTAGGTAGGTGGGTGGGTAGGTAGGTATGTAGGTATGTAGGTATGTAGGTATGTGGGTGTGTAGGTGTGTAGGTGTGCAGGTATGTAGGTGGGTAGGTGTGTATGTATGCACGTATGTATGTATGTATGTATGTATGTATGTATGTATGTATGTATGTATGTATGTATGTATGTATGTATGCATGTAGGTATGCATGTAGGTATGCATGTATGCAGGTAGGTAGGTAGGTAGGTATGTAGGTATGTAGGTATGTGGGTGTGTAGGCATGTAGGTATGTAGGTATGTTGGTATGTAGGCATGTAGGTATGTAGGCATGTAGGTATGTAGGCATGTTGGTCTGTAGGTGTGTACGTGTGTAGGTATGTAGCTTTTTTGACTGTGTGGATGTGCGGATGTATCAATATATGGACGGATGGGCGGATGGATGGATGGACGGAAAAATGTATGGATGCATGGATGTATGTATGTACGGAGGAATGGATGCAAGGATGCCCGGATGTATGGATGTACGGATGTATTCATGCATGGATGTAGGATGCCTTATGTGCTTGCGCAACACATGTCACCAGAAGTGGGCTCATTCCACAATGTTGGCAGACTTGCGCAGATGACTCATTAAGACTTTGCCACCCCTGTAAACGGCATTTGCTCCCACTTTCTGAAGTAGTTATCTGCGCCATTCCTCCTCTTGATCCTGTGTTCAATCAGTTCATACATATTATGGTCATAAACGAAACCTATGTCAACACAAAACAATTCAAAACAAAACATCAGAAGCAGATTTAGGTAGTGTG